ACCTGGAGCAGCCAGGCCTGGGGCAATGGCAGCCAGGCCTGGGGTGGAGGCGGCCAAACCCAGGGTGGCCAGGCCCGGAGCAGCCAGGCCCGGAGCAGCAGCAGCCAGGCCTGGAGCAGCCAGGCCAGGAGGGGGGAAGAAATGAGGAACCTGGTGGAGGGGGAAAGAAATGAGGAACCTTTGTAATAATATGAACAATAAAGATTGATTAAAAAATATATTTTTTTCTTAAGTTTTTAGGAATATTTTATGAACTTCTTATTAGAAGGAACAGTTATCCAAAGTTCAGCACTTTCTCTTTTTCTGTTAAATTCAGAAAAATTACATTAAATGCTCTGGATTAAAAATAGCAATAGAGTGAAGCCTGCTGGACAAATCGCCCCCAAGACAGTTTCCTGAGTGTCCGTGACTGCTGCTTCTGGGGAGTGAGAGTTAAAAACACTTTCTTGCCCTAACCGGTGTGGCTCAGTGGATAGAGCGTCGGCCTGAGGACTAAAGGAGCCCACGCTCTATCCACTGGTCAGGCTTGACCTTGATTCTGGTCAAGGCCACATGCCCGGGGTTGCATGCTCAATCCCAGGAGGGGGAGTGCAGGAGGCAGCCGATCAACAATTCTCATCCCTGTTTCTCCTTCTCCCCTCCTCACTGAAATCAATAAAAATGTATTTTTTAAAATGTAGTATTTTTTTTATTCTTTTAATTTTTTTCATTTTTATTTTGTTTTCAAATGCAGTATTTTTATTGAGCATTTACGATTAAAAAACTATAAGTGATATCAAGTCATTATTTCTTTTATTTTAATTTTTTTATTTTTATAGTTATATTTTAAAAACTGGTATGTTACTTCCATATGAAAAATAAGCTTCTGTTCAAATAAACTGTTACATGAGATGTGTCTGAACTGTCCAGATGTGTCTGGACAATATTATATTCTACTATCCTGGGCCATATAATATACCAACCATTAATCTTAACATAAACCAGCTTAAATTTAAACTTTTGTTTCTATGAGCTCTTTTAGGCTAGGAGAGAATCAGATGAACTTAATATTGATGGAAATTTCAAGCTTATGAGTCACCAACTTACTAATTTATAAAGGGCAGGCCTAATCAGAGAGAAATGAATTTATCATCCCACTAATAAACATTTTGGTGGCATACTTTCTTTGCATGAAATTATCATCAGATATCATTTGGTGAATAACAGATAAAAGATTCACTTAAAAGCAGTTTAATCCACTTCTCTCACTGGTTTCCATTTGCTTCAAATGCTAAAATAATCTCAAAAAGCAATGACTAATCTTTTGAATGAATAAATTTGAAGACAAAACAACAACAACAACAACAACAAAAACAATGGCAACTTCTATGCACAGTTATGTTAAGAGTTTCAGACAAAAGGGCTGTTTACCAAATTGAAAACTATTCTTCGTTTGTGCAGGCATCCATTTAGAGCTGAAAACATCAAACACATCTCCAGTCTACTCTCTCTTTGGCAAAACATCAGGCTCTGACTTCCAGGTGCTCACCTCCACAGACCTGGTTCCTCTGAGACATATCTACTGTAGCTTATTTACGACAAACAAAGCAATAATGATAATAAAAAATCCACAGGGTTCTCATCCATAGTATTTTTTAAAAAGCACATACACTATTAAAAACATTTCTTTCTGAAGAGAAATAAACAAAGAAATTAAAAAATGCACAACAAGAAGCGCCGGGCCTAGGTAGGGAGCGCGCGAGGCCGACGAATGGTGGACGCGGTTTTGTTCGAGCTTCTGCACACGGAGATGGTGGCGGAGCTGTGGGCGCCCGACTCCGACCTCGACCCCGGCCCCCCCCCCCCCCCCCGGGGTGAGAGCGCGGCCCGGGTCGAATTCTGGCCCCGCCCCCGCCTCGCCGGGCGACCTGGGGCGCTGGCTTCCGAACTCTGTACTCTGGGGCAGTGGTCGGCAAACCGCGGCTCGCGAGCCACATTCAGCTCTTGGGCCCCTTGAGTTTTTAGCAAAGGCCAGCTTAGGAGTACCCTAGTTAAGTTACTACCTCTATAGTTTAAGTTAAAAAAGTTTGGCTCTCGAAATTTCAATCGTACTGTTGATATTTGGCTCTGTGGACTATTGAGTTTGCCGACCACTGCTCTGGGGGTCCCATCCGGGCAGGCCTCACGGGTTGCTTGTAGGATTGAGCGAGACAGCTCGGGGTAAAGTTCCGAGCTCAAATCCTGGCACTGAATAAGTGGGCAGTAATTATAATAATTACTATATTGGAGGTGTTCTGAGGACTTCTGGGTTGAATCCCTGTGACACTCATTAAGGGTGAGAATCATTGTGCCTCAGTTTCTTCCTTTATAAAATGGGCATCGAAGCCACTTAAGTCTCAGAGTGGGACATCTGTTAATTTAACAAACACTTATTGAACGCCTTTATGTTCCAGGCTCTGTTTCAGTGTCCTTGCGAAGCTTATATGTTTTTTATAGACCTTTTAGTTTTGTTATGAAGCTTACATTTTAGTAGGGTTGTCAAACAAACGATAAAAGTCCTGTGGAGAACTAGTGAAAATTTCCACAGGGAAAACCTAAGTAAAGTCAGGGAAAGAAAAGGTGTGGCGTGGTAGATTCTGGAGGAGAGCATTTCTGAGGAAGAGGAGGGAGGAAGCAAGGCCCAGGGATACATGGGGGAAAGCATGCCTGGAACTGAGGTAGGAGCATGCTCAGCATTTTGGAAGTTGGTCGCTACGAATTACAGGCAAGCTCAAACTTTTAAAGCTCTTAGTGCAATGTCTAAAACATCATCAGGCTCTAACCCGTTTGGCTCAGTGGATAGAGCGTGGGCCGACGAACTCAAGGGTCCCGGGTTCGATTCCAGTCAAGGGCATGTACCTTGGTTGCGGGCACATTACCCAGTAGGGGGTGTGCAGGAGGCAGCTGATCGATGTTCCTCTCTTACTGATGTTTCTAACTCTCCCTCTCCCTTCCTCTCTGTAAAAAAACAATAAAATATATATTTTTAAAAAGTAAAAAAAAAAAAAAATAAAAAAATTTAAAAAAATGCACAACAAGAGTCAGATGTGCAAGGTCTACACAGTAATCTGCTGGCTCCGCAGGAGGTGTCCCTCCGTGTACCCAACGTGGTTTCAAGCGCAGGAGGCCGTTAACTTAAACATCACTCAGCACAGGCAACACTGTCCTCTCCAGCCCGTGTCATCGCTTTCCACAAAGCCAGAAACCAAGGCATGTCTAACTGTGCTGTTTGAGAAAAGTACCTGCACTCTTCATGTCCTCTGGGAACAGATCTAAATGGAAAAAACTCAGTGCTCAGAGAAAGCTCTTCTACTTTCCTTTGAATGGACTTTTAGCTAATTAGTCTGTGGACAATATTTTCTATTGAAGTTTCATAGATTCAAGAATGAAATACTTACGATAAAAAAAAGTACAATGTTTTCTAAGAATACAAGTGCAAGCGATTTTATGTGAGACCCAAAGTAACAGAGCCTGGTAGAAGGTATCAGACAGAAGGCGTTCTTACTCTGGGCCAGTGCTAAAACCTATCACGCCTCATGAGTGTATAACATAGCCTTTGTTCAAACGCCATTTTTTAAAACTCTAAGGCATCTTATCTTCAATCTTATTATTTTTTTTTTTAGTGAGTCAACATTTATTTTGGATATTAAATGCATTACTGCATAGAAGAGCCCTCATAAAACTACTCGGTCAACTACTGATTTCATGGCAGTACATAATAGTAAGTTTTCAGGAAAATGTTTTGCAATAAAGAAAAGTTGTATAAGGAGAGTTCTGATACTTTAAATTCTCAGAATCTCAACCTTTTACCTTTTATCCTTTAAAATTACTTTGTATTCCTTAGAATTAAATGAATACATACATATATGGAATCTCTTTTAAACAAATGTGACCCTGAATCTCATATTGAGCAAAAATAATGAAAATGAATAATAATAAAATAACAACAACTGGCATTGTGCACAATAAACAAGGTAAAGGAAAACATCAATTTATCTCCTTGGTGATAAAAATCACCTGTGACTGGTAGAAGAGAGAAATCAACTAAAGTGAAAAAGTAATGACTATAAAATCTCAAGGAAATTTAGGATGGGATGCAATCCCCACTAAGAAGATCTGTGGCCCAGCAATGGATTCATATAGAGTCTAACCTTAAACACAGTTAGAAACAACCATGTTTTCTGGAGCCCACGTGAAAAGTGTCTGGCAGGTGACCACTCGGCCTTTATACCCCTGCAGGAAGTTGTGTTCCCCATGCAGTACTAAATCTCCGAAGTTTAGTGTTTAAAGATATCTTTCCTCGTCTAAAACCAAACAAAATCCCTCCCTAAGTCCCAAACAAAGTCCCAACAACTCACAGTACAACATTTCTAGTCCCTCCACTTGTGCTGTGAGAGCATGAGGCCGCAGGCGAACGGAGGCAGGACAAACACACGTTCTGGGAGGCCGCTGGCAGAATGCTGCTTGTCAGACCTTTACACTCCGGTTCAAAACCAGCTCCTCATGTAACCCATTAGAACGTGTGTTTTTTTTAAAAGTCTATCTGAAAAAGGCGATTCCCCCCTCCAAAATTAATACAGAGTTAAAAGAAATGCAAATGAGCTACGATCTATTCCAAGCACCGCGCCGCCAGGAGGTCACACACACTATTTGGTGTTTGGTGTTGGAAAACACCAAACACCAAATAGTGTGACCTTGCATTCTTTAAGGCAGTGGTATCCTTGCGTTCTTTTAAGGCAGTGGTTTCACAGGTCAGTTCAGAGACAAGAAGCATGGTCCATGGCAGTTTGTTTTGCAACTGCAATTGGTTCTCTGGGAATGTCTCTCTTCGTTCCCTGGAATTAGTACTTTTTTGGTTCAGAATCCGGAGGGAAAAGGGAAGCTCGGCTCCCCTGGCACAGGACTGGTTTTTGCTGGCGCTGGTCCACCAGGCCTCGCTCCCTCTGTGGAGCAACAATTCACCTCTCTTCTTTCTTAGGCTTTTACTCAAAAATCATCAAGTTTGTAGGAACCTGTTGTTTGTTACTTTGGCAGGCAGCACTCAAATGCTTAAACCACAGCATTGCGTGCATCCTATTGCCAGCTTGAAACTTGTATGAATTTCCCTTCTCAGAGTCAGTCAGTAGGAAGAGGTCAGGATGTTCCAGGTCATCAGCGATCATCACCATCCATCCTACTTCAGACACATTCTTATTTGATGTGGATTTGAAATGTCTTCTTTCTGTAGCTTTTAGAGATTTGGCAATATAGTTAAAAAGTTGTGTCCCACACAAAGCTGCCCAATATTTTGTCCAAGATGCTACTGTAGGCTTTTTGCCTTCCTTTAACAAAGTTTTTCTCTTGAGAACACCTTGAATAGTAACAGCTCCTGGATATAAATGTACTGCCAAATCTTCCGATTCTGCAGAACTTTCAAAAGCAGGCCATGAGGTCTCTTCACTTAGTTCAGAACCATCACTGCTACCTACTGATATTCCACTAGACAGAGTAGAACTTTCGGCTTGGCCTCGAGATGGTGCATGGGGCTCCATGACGCTATTGTCTAATAGATGCGTTGGCCCTGCATTTGGGAATGTCGCGCTCTTAAACTCTGCTGTGTTCAATTTATGAATGAAATTATAACCCAGGCTATGGCACTTCCTATGTCTGTGTGGAATCAGGTTCCGAGGGGATGGCAGTGTGTGTGGTAACAAGGCTCCTTCAGCTGCCACACTTCTTCTACTTTGTGGAGATCCCACTTCAGGACCTACCAAGTCTTCCCTAGAGGCAGCAGTGTGGTGTGCTGGTCCCTGATTCTATCTTTAATGAAAGCTTGCAATTATCATCTTCCACAAACTTTTGTAGTTCTATATACTGAACAGAGTTCAGATATCAATATTTTTGGACATGAGGCAACATGGGGTGCACAAGACTGCTGTAAATCAGAAATTATTCAAAGGATGTTATTCATCAAATTTCATCTCTGCTCACTTTCTAGAATGCTGCCAGTTGACGGGTATGCTGAATCAATGTAAGTTAAATCTGACAAATAGACACCTAAATAGGGAATGCACGGTGTCATCTTTAAGCTACTTGTATAGGCTCCGAGTCTTTTGTAGTCATCTTCTTTTCTCATTGCATATTCTAATTTTTCAAAGGTGGTTTTGTCTTCTCGACTTAGTAATGCCCATGTTTTCGTCAACCTAAAAATTGGGGCGCTCTGTAAGCCAGAAACCACTGCCATGAGTGCATGGAGGTTGTTTAGCTCGTACAGTTTCTTCGCAGTTTTAATATAGTGGCTCAAAACTGCTCTAATTTTTAATGTTTGAGCATGAAGAATCTCTTTAACAACCCAACAGCTTACGTGATTGAATCTTCTTGGGAAGGCAACTATATTTGGTGCAGAACTATGTTTCTCTTTTATGTTCCGTCCACAGCTTGAAAGCTCATCTGGTTGAATGGCTTTACTGGGACATCCATTAGTGTTATTTGACCCAAATATTCTTCTGGTGTAATGGTAAGAATATCAAATACCACGGCATCAAAGCTTTTCTTCAATTCAGAACCCTTGTCACCTAATGATTCCGAACTGCTACTTTTCTCCGAAGCGGTAGCAGCAACATTAACACTGCTTGCCTGCCCATTCAGTAGGTCCACGCTTTCCACAACATCAGTCCTGCTGCTATGTCAACGGCATAGAAGACTGACTGACTGCTTCACGTTGAAGGCCACAAATACATATCATTCCTGTGCAGCAGTGGCCGTCACCTCGAGGGATGGGAAGATCCGCTGGCCTCACTCTCCTGCTGCCGTCCCCCGCAGCGAGCGCTCACTTGGTGACCCAACCATTTAGCGCCCCCGTGGCACTCCATCAGAACACAGTGCTGGGAGCAAGGGCGCAGGTGCGCGTGTTCCAGAACTCTAACTTCGAGTGAAAACTCAGAGCTCATCAGCACATCCCGAGTTGTCTTGGCAACGACAGTCCACTTGGTTTTCAAGGAAATGACTGCCACCTCCCCAAACCCAAACCACTAGGTGGTCCTTCTCTCAGGTGAGAACGGGCTTTCCTTGAGGCATCTGGTGCACCAGGTCCCCGCACAACGCGAGAGGCGGGGATGGGGGGTTTCTATCCCTCCTTGGCTTTGCATCAGGAACCGTGTTGCCACGCTGTTTTACAGATGAGAGTGTAGTGAGTCACCTCTGGGGAGGGTCTCCTCAGAGCACGACGGCCAGTGCAGCCCAGGCCGGTCACGGTGTGGTTTCAGACTGCACAGCACAACTAAGCTTCCTTTTCAAAGTAACTTTATTTTGGAAAAGTTTAAATCTCACAAGAAGTTGTAAAAAAGTATAGCGACCCTCGTCCCACGCTAGCTTCCCCTGTGGCATTTAAAGCTACAGGGCTTGTCGACACCAGCATGAAGCTCAGTGCACACACTCGCTGCTTTGTCTCTGGTGCACCTTCCAGCCTCGGCACAGCATGGACACAGAACACCCACAGCGACCACGGACAGACCACACCTTCCTGTCCAGCCCAGGCTGCGCCCGCACCGCATACAGCCCAGCAGGCCGAGCGCAGAGCCCAGCTGTCCCCACCTGAGCCAGACAGGAGATTTGCAAAGATATAAGATAATGCCCCTCTTCTTGCTAATTTTTGTGTGTGGAAAATAGTCATTTTCCTTAAGAATATATTAGAGTTTATATCTTTATTTCTAGATGAATAAATTGTTTTGAAACGTCTGTTTTAATTTTCAGTGCCACAGTGTGACCCCATGAAGCCAAGCTCCGGGGCCCCAAGGTCAAAAGGGCGGACGTCCGAAGGTCGCACACACAACCCCGCTCTGGCAACCTTTTGCGCACCACGTACACACACAGGCTGGTCACAGCTAACTTATTCAGGAGCAATAAAAGTCCAGCAGCTTCAGTAGTGATTGTCTGTCTACAGGGGACTGTGACTCATATTCAAACCAAGCATTTTAAAGTGACCTTTTATTAAGCCACTTACTACTGAATTCAACTAAAAGTATAGTCGTCCAAGCAATCGAAGCTATTCACTCACATTGTAGAATTCTCCTCTTCTTTTCAGAATAATCTTGCACTTACACCTACTTTTACTAATCATATCCATGAAGTGAACAGGAGGCTTTAACAACGTGCTATTCTCCCAGCGTCTGCCTTGGTGCCGGCCCGGCCCACAGCGGTGAAGCACAGGCAGAGGGCGGCTGTGACGAGCAGGTGCATGCCCTCGTAGAGGAGCTTCGGGGAGAACACGCTCCAGATGAACAGGTGGTAGCGCAGGGCGGTGACCAGGACGATGTAGGCGGACACCGGGACGGAGCTGAGCAGCGCGTAGCAGAAGCAGGCCCGCCCCAGTGCCGAACCGCTGCAGGGGAAGGGACACGGGTTAGTGCACTGTGCTCTGTCCCAGTGCTGTCACTGGCATTTGTATTGTGAAAACGGGGAGGCAAAGCTTGCTCCTGGGCCTGGTGTCTGGTGGGCAGAGGCGACTGAGGAGATGGGGCCGCAGGCAGATACCTCCTGTCATGCTACTTCACGCCCCATTTTGCAAAAGTATCTATTTGAAAACGACAAGCACGCACTGCTATCCCCTCACATGTATGCTAACCTATAAACTACGAAAAGATAACCGCACAAGACTAGGGTCAACTATATGCCAACAAACTGAACAATCTGTGAGAAACAGATAGACTCCTAGAAACGCACCGTCTTCCAAGTCTGAGTGAAGAAGAATCTGAAAAGAATGATAACTACTCATGAAATCAAAGCAGGAATAAAAAACTCCCCACAAACGGATGACTTCACGGATACATTTAACAGAACACTTAGAGAATTATTAACATGATTTCCTCTTAAACTATTACCAAACATTCAAGAGGAAGGAAGGCTTCCAAGCTCATGTTCTGTGGCCAGCATCATCCTCATTACAAAACCAGACAGAGGCTCTGTAAAAGAAAGCTATAGGCCCGGCATCCCTGATTAACACGGATGCAAAAATCCTCAACAAAATGCTACCAAATCGAGCCCAGCAAGATCACACACCATGACAAGGGCTAAACAGAGCCTGGAAAGGGAGGCCAGCCACATGGTCTAGGACAGAGGCAGTGACAAGAGAGCACAGCGGGTCCTCAGTCTCGCGATAAAGGGCGCTGGAACCTGAACAGACGTGCAGAAAGTGAAGCTAGGCCACCAACTCACGCCACATAGAAGAAGTGACTCAAAACGGGTCACAGCCCTAAACGCAGGAGCCCGAGTGTCACGCATGCTGCCTACTCTACGCTCAGACACCGAGGCCCCACGTGCTCCCTGGCAGCTGTGATCCCTGCTGCCCCACCTCCATCCCCACCCCAACCCTAACCCTGACCCTAGCCTTGCTCTGTGAGGCCACCTGACTCCGGTGCTCTGGCTCTGGGGTAACTCGTTCACTCTCCTGGCAGCTCCAGACCTGAGCTCCTGCAGCGAGTCCTTGTACACACACCTCGGGTCCCACTGGGGACCCAACCATCAGGAGGGGGACCCCAGGGAGCTCGTCACCTCCAGGAGCCACGGCACCAACAAGAAAGGAGAACTGGGAGAAGCTTGGTTGATAGGTGGGCCTTGACCCGTCCCTGCCCCTCGCCTGGGGAGTGGGTCCTTCTCAGCCATGGGAATAGGGGCTTCCACAGTCATATTCCAGGCTCACCCCTCCTGTCACCCTGGCAAAGGGAGGCGCACTTGAGGGGCATGGCCAGACTGCTGAGGGACAGAGGAGGAGCTGCACCTGCTTGGCTCCCAACTCAGGAAGTTCACCAAGTGGCTGGCCCACAGCACGGGCCCCGCATACGTCGCAAATGCCGTCAGGAACATGGCCGGGACCTCCACGTAGGTGTTCAGGCCCACGAAGCCCGCCGAGATGTCCACCGTGGCGATGTTGTTGGAATTTCCCTGGAACGATATGGCCACGCTCACAACACGGCCATGTGGCTATGAGAAGCCTGGAGCCACGGCCGCCCGCCTCTCCATCTGTCCCGCTGACCCCATGTGTCACAGAGGCACAGGACACACTTCCAAAGGCGGCGAGGAGCAAGTGCCAGGTCTGAGCGTGGGGAGACTACGGACGAAGTCTCTGGTGAGCTGCAGCAAGCTCTGCCTTTCCTCAGATCTCTCTACCTCACAGACACGTGATACACCCTCCCCCAGGACCCTAAGGGCTGCGTGGGGGCACTGGAGGCCACACGGCCCAGGGGCCATTGCTGGAGGCTGAGGCGGATGCTGGGCCCGGGGATCAATGACTGAGGGCACAGGCGAGCAGAATGGCCACGAGAGTACATTCACCACCTCAGCAGACGCAGCTGTGCAGACGGTCCAGCAGTAGCCATGCCTCGCGCACCTGCTGCGTCATGCCTACAGACACGCACATGGCAGGAGCAGCGCCCCCCCTCCCCAAATGCTCTTTCGCCAACTAACACTGACACCTGCAAAGGACAACTACAATGTACATGGCACAGAGTTACTGGTCTGCCCACAGAGATAGCGAAAACCTACCTGGAAATAGAAG